GCATACCAATATCTAACTCAGTAGTGGAATTTAGACACTTAAATGAGGTTATCTGATTGGCAGCCTATTTATTAAACGTCTCCTCTATTATAGTATCAAAAGATGATGAGCACATTGACATGGTAATTCAGCTCTAAGGTAGGATGAACCAATTCCTAGAAGAGTCACTTGCTGTCCAGCAACACGTAATGGACAGTCAAGAGCATCTGCATATAAGTATAGAGTGTACGTAATACACAATATACAGTAAATATATAGGAAGTGTATGTAGAATATAGGGGAAAAACATACAAAAAATAATTCTTATTAACAAAGTTACCAGATGCTTTTTATTTAAATCATACTTGAGACTGCCACATTTCAGTGCTTTACAAGGCTTTTACAGTTGGATAAAGGAACTTATGGCCAAAGGAAAGGAAGCACTGCTTTCCTACCTCTGTTCCAGCTCTTTTCTGCCATTATAATGGCAGCTGAGACACAAACAGGAGAATCAAGAGGTCCATATATGAGCTTACAAGCTTAGTCCTATCCAAACATATTTATTTTCACACTTTGGTGGAAATCTCAGAAGAACAGACACTCCTGAGTCCTAAGGAGTATCAAAAAACCCAAAATTCTGTCTTAGATCTTTGCTACTGGTATCTTTCCACCACTTTTTGGTTGTTTTTGTTGTTTTGTTTTTCTTTTAGTTGCATTTATATTCTGAATACTCCCCCTTCCACATCTTTCATTCTCTCTGTTCCATCCAAACTTTTCAAATCTAATATTCCACTTTTATTATTTGCAATTCTTTTTCACTGATTGAAACTGTCTTGCAGTAATTCTTCGTTCATTTTTCAAAAAAGCACTAGTTTTACCTAACCTATCAAACATGCCAATAATAGTAATTCAACATCTAAACGGCATTTCAAGATGAAATATCAAAACATACGCTTATTACCTGATATGTTACAATGCAAATTCTGTGTATGTCTTCACAGTACAATTTGTTCTATGTATCTGCTAAGCTTAAGTGAAGGCAATTTGAGATGCATCCTCAGAAAGACTTCCCTCCTCATCCCCAACTCTGTTTTGGAGCAGGAGGGGCCCAGGGATAATTCCAGCAGCTAATGCTGCTTTGCTGAACTGAAAAACACAAGAAAAGAGGGATGCTGCAGCAATAACAGCATTTGCTAAGGAAGGCTATAGCTGGACCTATGAGTATGCACTGCAGGACTTACTGGAATAGTCATAGAACATCCTGGGTTTTATCTATCAACTTTCATTCAATAACCCAGACATTAGGAATGCAGCAAACAGTCTTTTAAAGCCTTTCTTTACCTAATATAGAGCTTTTGTTTAAATTCAGGGTTCTCAGGAGAAAGTCTCAATTGGTGAGTTACGAATAGGATAGGTCCTGGGCTACAAAAATTTACAGAGTTTTTACATATCTGGATAAAAGCTGTCTTTAACTACACTGGCAAAAAGGAATGCAAGGAGGAAGTAAAGCAGTGCAGGCACCCCTGGGAGCTTTGCTTGGGACCTAGAGTACACAGGCAGTCTCACTGTGTCAGGTGCAGTGACCTTACTGTGTTCTTAACAACAGTAGCATAATTAAAACCCAATTAAGTTTTGCCAAGTCCTGTCAACGAATGTATTTGGTGGGAGCTAACATTTCTTGAGCAGTTCAAGAATTTCACTTTCTAAAAGACCCATAGAAACTCAGCATTGCAACTCAGCAACAGAAATGTGTCAACTGCTGCAGCTTAATTGGATGGTGGTGGGGGGACAAATCAATTCCAGATGTAGTTTTTTTGCTAGGAAAAGCATCCCAAAAGTACGTTAGCAGATGAGGCTATTAAAAACAGAGGCTCATTTAAAATACTTCCTATTAACTTCTGAAAGATTTTGATTAGACATTTGAATAAACGTTAAAACTCTGAGGTTTTCTTGAAACAGTCATAGATACTTGGTTCCTAGATTTTGAGCAATGTGAAAAGAATCTAATTACTGCAACTAAAAAATTCTGGGGATAAGCTGTAATTTGTTTGTCTGCTCTAAGGAAGTCTCCCTGTCCCATCTAAGTAGAACTGAAAAATATTGTCTGAACATAAGAAAACTAAAACATACCCTTCATTGTAAACCACATATATACTGTTCATCAAACAGAAGAATGAGAGCCATAAAAAGAAATGATTCACAGAAGTCAAACAGGTTGAATGTTGTTCTAGTATCTGTACATTTTCCATAATGTTTTTTAATAAATATTTCACAATTCTGCCTTGATGCGATTTTGTCACCTAGAACTGAATTCATAACATTATATATTTTATAAATTTTGTAATTTACTATATCAGATAAAGGTGAAGTGATACATGACGTATAAACTGCCAACAGCTTCCTAGGTGCAAACAATCACGTCTTATCTCACGTGCTTAAGCACAAGCAAACAAAAAGTAGCTGTATTCCAGGAAATGAACATATTTTACTTGAAAGAACTGTACTCACAGTTAGTGTAGTACAGATAGGTAACGCTGCTATTTCTTAGCATGAAATATGTTTTACAATATAAATGGCATATGCTTTTGGACTAGACTAAGAAAACATTAAAGTGCACGAAACTCTGTTCTGATGCTTCCTTTATGATGAAAGCTTTGAAGAAAAACTATACATCAACACATGTCATAGCTGACGCAACCAGAAGGAAAGCTGAAAATTCACCAAATTATATTGCAATAGATGAGTTAGCATAAGATCTTAGTTACTCAGGAAAGTGAAAAGAATATGGCCCTATTAGTTCTTTATTTTAGGGGAAACAGAGAAAAATTCACCCGCTCATCTAGAAGAAGCTTGCAAATTCAGTGTAAAGGCCACCTGTTTTTTTTCTATGCACATCCGTGCACCCCACTGTACCAACATACTAACTTAGCAAATAGCTTTTACATTGAACATAATTTGCACTCTCTTTTCAGTATCATTCTTTCCAGAGAAGTAAATATACTGAAAAATTCAAATTACAGAGGAGGGGAGGGGAAGTTTTGATGCACTGCATCTCCACTCCAGGCAATGGCCAGGACAATTTTCTGGCTATTAGTCACACTACACCAAAAGCATACCAAAATAGTGACAACAGGAAAAATCTATAGCAAAAAACCTAGCCTGCGCTACATACACAGCAACTTCTTAAGCCACCCGCCTTGACTCTGAGCCAGCTGATAGCAGTTCATGCATTGGCAGCAGCAGCACAAGCCCCTTCCAGTCTACTTGTCCTTCAGCTATTTTCACGACCGCAATCTGTAGTTCATAGCCTTTACTTGGAATTTACAAGTAAAAATGCTTTCACCACAGTGTGATTCCTAAACTGAATCCATGTAGATAGGGATGACATTTATGATGGAAATGTATTTATGGTTTTTGTAATGAACTGCCCCAAGGATTACTTGCGAGTGTTTATGCAAGAGCCACAAAGATGGTCAGAGAATTGCCAGTCAACCATTTTCACATACATTCTCACTAGCTGAGGCAGAATTATAGACCTTCCTCTCGAGAGGAAGCAATTATTCTGCCTCAATTGTTTTCCACCACCATAACTAACAAACAACCACTGTTCTGACTGCCTGGGGAATTTCTTTGTGTACCAAAACAACTTTGATAGTGTATACTCTCTAGAAAACAAGAAAAGCAAAATTAGACTTCCTAGCTAAAAGTCTTTATTTTCAAAGCTCTTGGCAGACAAATTTGAATGGGACCAACCTTTAGCCTAAAGCTAAAAAAGGGATAATGTTTAAATGTTATTTACACTATGATTTGAGTGAAATCAAGCGCCATGTCAGTAATGCTACAAGGTTTCCAGGGACAGTTTTGTTCAGGTAACAGAAGCGTTACATCTTTCATAAAGCATACTTTAAGGTCCTTAATAATAAATCTCGTGTGGGAGTGCTCACTTTTATAGATCTTAATTCTAATGGAAAAATTAAATGTCCTCCTGTTTTTGCAACCCAAGAAGCAACTTCTGTCAAGCTTTGCCGTTGTAAAATCCAACGATAAAAAAAATTTTAAGTAGATAAATTGTATAGCATTTACTAAGAGCACAGAAATACTACGTTTATGAACGAATCAAATCCATCTATACAGTCTATCATTTATATCGTTTGGAAAAGTTAATAAATATTTTATTTCATAAATAGTTAATAAGAACCAAAACTCCTTTCTCTATTAAATTGCAATTTATACCCTTTCCACAAACGAAATGTAAGTTTAAAACAAGCAACAAAGAGATAACCAGAGCCTACATGGTAAGTTAAAAGCATAACAGTTGAAAAAATTCTAAAAATGTAGAATTTGTAATCTAGAATAGATTTTTTTTAAAAAATTCAACAGTTAAAAATAGAAGTATAACAACTGCTCAAAAAGCACAGTGCATAAAAAGTATAAAAATATTATTTTAGATTCCATTCTACCCAAAATCAGAGATCTGTACAAATGAAAGTCAGTTCTTCTTATGTATGTATGTCCTTTGTATATATGAATGATTTTTTCATTCATATAGCAGAGATCTGAACGAAACTACATGCAAGAACAGACCTGTAGGTCAAGGGTGTAAATACATCATAATTTTTGTTAAATCCTGTCCTATTTTCTCTTATAAACACTTAGACATTTTAGGACTGTTCTGAATTATCTTGCAACAATAAATGAATCAAAGACAACTCTTTGCAGCAAAAAGTCATTTCTGCAAAGCCAGGATCCAGAAATCTATGAATTCCGTGGCCAGTCAGCCAGAGACCTGCAGCCTGGCATCCTGGGTTGGGCAGCCCTCTCCAATAAATAGTCCACTTTAAAAAAATAAAAATAAAGAGAGAACCTTAAAAAAATACAGGAGCTGAAGAGCTGATCTTCTCATCCACTTGCTTACTAACATACTTCTGTCTCCACTTTTCTATAGTAAAAATGAACTCTTCTACCACTTTTTTCAACATAATGCAGGAGCATGAATTGACTAAATATAACCATTTACATACCAGTTCTTGGCAGCAGCAGGAAGGGAGAGCTCTTGTACCAAGTCTTGCAAGGTTGTGAGTGGCAATTCCTATGTTATGTACATCAGAATTGTTCAGGCTTTTGACTCTTACGGTTGTTATCATCCATGATGATGGAGGTCACTACCTGGGAGGTAGAGAAAAATCTGAACCCTTAATTTTTCCAAGTTACTAGCTGTCTTGAACCTAAGCATTAGTGGCAATACTTCAAAATATAGCCAAGGGTACTGGCTAAAGCATTTTTGTGTGCAAAATGATCAGCCACTACATAGTCAAGATAACTTCCAGTTTTTGTTCACTAAATATTCATATTAGCACTTCAGTGAGGTATATTTCAGGGAGAGGGACTTTTGCATAGTTGTTTTGAGATAAAATTCTGAAAATACCAAATGGATGGTCTGTTCAAAAACATAGTGTTCTATATTCTTATTCTAATTTGCGCTACCTAACGTACTCAGATATAATCATGGTTTTTCTGCTATTATTTTTATAAAATAATTGATTTTGACTAATCCACTGTAACATCCAAATAAGAGGCGTTGCAAAGAAAAGCATGTTCCTAGCATGTAGGTTACAAATGCTGTAAAGATGTCAACGTTCTAGACACAGCTCAGGACAAATGGCAGAAGTACAATACACTTGAAATTATTTAAGTACATGAAACAAATTAAACATGCCCGAGCTATAGAAAATTAGGCAGTGATATATTTGAGAAGTCATCTTAGGCTCATTACTGCCCTTAATTTTAAAATGCATCATTCTACATATTTCAACTGGGTATTATCACATAAGGCTTTTAATGATCATTTATATATTACATTGGAATGTATTTACTGACCTAATCAATGGGGAAAATATAGTCTATTTCTCCAAGTCTTTAATTACCACATATTAAAACAAGGGGATGGCTTAACAAATGTTAGTATCATGGCATAGCTTAATGCTAGTCAAAGAGAAATCATTTGCAGGTATTAATTTCATGTACATTCCTTTAACTACACATAAAATCCTTGAAATAGCTGGGATTTGCCTTTCCATGTGCTTTTATTAAAGAGATGGTAAGGTTTTAGAATGTGGTAAATTTGAAGTATCACAGGAAAAATATCCTGCATACGCTCATTATCATTTTCCTCTCCCAGTGCCAGGGCATGGAAGACCTTTAAGGTACAAAGATAACAGCAAAACTTTAAACTCACGCGTAAGGTTTCTCCTGATGCCCTGTAAATTTTTAAAAAGAGTTCTGCAGAGAGATAAGGTAGAATGATGACAATGAACATGCTATTTCTCTCATATCAGTTCCTGACTTTGGGTCTATATTTTTCTTCTCTTCAGTTGCAGTTTGGCAACTCAGGGCATTTTCATACTTCTCTAAAAAAGCCTGGTCACCCTGCCCTAATGAAGTGGATTACATTTTCCATTTAGGAACATATTCTTTTATTTTTAATATCACAAATCCTTAAGCTTCCCCCTCCTCCCTTTTCTTTTTTACTAAAAAAAGAGGCTTGGAGTGCCTAATTCTTGATACTATTACTTTTCTGCATCTAACTTTTCCTCACATTTTTTATTTTTATTTTATTATTACCATTTATAAAAATATCTTTTTATCAATAACTTTTCCAAACATGAAGTTCTAGAAATAATTTTAGAGTAGCACACTGAACTATTAAAAAAAAAAAAACTAAAGAAAAATATTATCTTGCATAAGTGGCGAAGAGTAATAAAGAAACTGAGGAAAGAGAAAAATGAACATTCAAGCTTTATTTCTAAATGTGAAAAAGATCTATTTTGGTCACATAAAATGGAAAAAATTCCAAATAAATTCTGAATTTCAAAAGTTGCATGATTCTAATAAACTCTCTTGTTATTGATAAAGTATTGGTCAGAGAGTTTTTGCTCACAGGTTTTTAGAGCCTTTTTGCAACAATCTGATTACAAAGTACTAGCTAATTAAAATATCACTTTTGCTTAAAAAAAAAAAAAATCTATTTCCTGAATGGGGAGGGGGAGAAGTTGGACAACATTTCCTTAGAAACTCTATATATTTTATCTACTTCACTCTTAACTGGAATCTTTCTCAGAATCTTCAGTTAGTCTGTGTCAGCAAGCAGTACAGATCTAGAGAAGTAAATGTACACTAGCACTCAGATTTACTACACCTCTATCTATAAACCACCTATTATAATAACAACTTCAACAATTCAAAGGCATTGAGACTCAATCACGTCTTTAACCTGTTAGAGCAGTTCGTAGCATGATTTTAGCCGAGTTAAAGATCACTGTGTCAAATCATTTCAAAGCACGATGCAATGCTAAACACCCCATCACAGACCATTCCCAATACACCAAGAGACAGGACAGACACAAACCATCCCATGTCTTTCGAGCCAAAGAGGATACCTGAGCATGTCATTTATAAGTTCAAGCACTGCTAGAGGGACACTTCATCTTACTACAAAGCTTGATGTTCACCAATTTTTTTTCCAAAAAAATGTTCCTTCATGTTATCTCTATTCCAGCTATGTAGAGTCCAAGTGATTAGCAAATACCTGCTCATATAATTATGCCATAACGTTTTCAAGGAAAAACAGTATTACATAAAAGACAGTGCCCACAAAAAGACATATAATATGCTTTTACTTCTAAGGGAAGTTTCTTGACAAAAAACATTTATACAATTTTAGAGTTGCCTTTGTTGTTCCAAAAATGCAAACGTCCACCTAAATAAGAATGCCCTAACGTCAGGGCGGGCCTGTTTTCATGGTCATCTCAAAGTGTGCAATTGCACTGTTAACATAATTAGCTATCTAATCACACATTCAAATTTAATCAGTGCATAACACATGTAATTAACTATTATTCACAGCAGACCAGAGAAGTTTGCGATGGTATGACCTGTTTCAAATTACCAAGGAGTGATCAAATTCTAAAATCATTGTAGAAATCTCCTATTTGTGAACAGAGAAAAACAAAACACTCATATCCCAAATTTCAGCCATTAGATAAACAGATTTTAGGTAGTTGTTCAATGACTAAGTAAAAGAAAACATATTTCAGATATTTAAGACTTAAAAAAAAATCCTTCCAATTTAATGTAGTTTACATTTTAAATTTAGCAAGAGTAATAGCTAGTTCTCACCTACTGCTGCCTTTATTTCAGCTATAAAAGCTATGATTTGTTTAAATTAATGAAAAAGCTATTAGAAGCTGCCTGATTAGCACTAATGAACATAAAGTACAGTTATATTAATGAGCCTGAGGACACAAAATATTTTCCCATCTCTTTTTTCTTCTTCTCTCTCTCTCTCTCCTTCTTTTGGAAAGTGCTTTTTTGGAAATACTCACCATTCACTGTTAACAGCTTCAGCACCATTTGTGCAAAGACATATGCAGTTAGCGAGCAGGTCTTTATTCTGACTGGACTGAAACAACGTGCAACTATTCTTTCTCTATGTTCTATTATATCACTATGTAACCACTTCAACAGAAAGCACCGAAAGCACCTGAAAACATCAGCTTTCTTCCAATTTAAATACATTCTGAAAACCTAGCTCTTTCTGGTAATGAGTTTCAATACTAATGTAAGTTAAGTACTTAAGTAATTTCTAGAAACTTTACATTGTAGCACTGGACAGCTGCATCTTTTAATATTAAGTCTTCTAGTATACAGTCTGAAGTTAATAAATAACATCCAATAAGAAAGTATTTTAAAAAGTCAGGCATATATTTATACAATTAACAACACAGGCACATACACAAAACTACTTGTGAACCCCTTTTCTGGCTGTATTCACAGTCTAACTACTTGGACTTACAACAATGGAGCTCTAGATCCTGTTCTGAGCTGTGCCAGGGGTCTGGTGGCTAGTCCTGAACAATCAGATCAATCGTTCAGGTTTCCAGCTAAGAATATATTTACCTCTTTAATAAATTGCTAGCAAATATACTGAGAAACTCAAAAAAAAAAATCCAGAGTGTTATTCAAAGAATATATGATTTCACCCAGATGAAAGATAGAGTTGAGTAGAAATCCTATGCCTGTTTCCATCAGAAAGTGGAATAACAAAATTGGATAAAGATATGCAAAACTATACAAACACCATGTAGAATCTTTTCATGCTGATTTTTAATGAATGAGTAAAAATAGACCAAATTCTATCTCTAGTACCCTGCAAATCTCTAACTGAAAAAGCAGTTAATGATTATTTGGGTTTTTGATGTGATACAAAGCTTCCATAAGAAAGCCAATATTTGATGTAACTTTAGTAATATAGAAAAAAAAATGACAGCATTTCCTTTGAAGAGCTGGCAGTCTGTCTACCTACAAAAAGTATTCAAAAAAGGCAAACAAATGCATGCAGTGAAACTAAAATTGGAGGGAGTAAAAACAAGGAGCTACAGTTACTAAATCAAGTGAAAACGTGAATTCTTATTCCCTCAGAAATTCTCATTTTGTGAAGTGTCGCAAAAGTTGTGTGTCAGGGTGTTCATCCATGAACTCCTCCCTCCCTCAGCTATGCGATTTTATGTCACTGCATTACTACCATGTCAAAGCAGTGGAAGAAGAAAAAACCCCACAGCATCCACCACTACCTACCCCCAGCAGTTGTTAAACCCTCTCATTGTCTGTTTGACATTCCTGTCATCTGTGTGAATAGTGTTGGTCCTAAACATTAAAATTTACAGGTAGTCATTCACTGTGAGAATGGGATCAAAAGTTTAAACTACACATACAATGTTGTTTCCATTTAGAATAGACCTAAAATAACACACTGTCTGACGCTCAAGGTACATCTCCTGCCTGCTCATGGCTCAAGTATCAGACTTGAGTTCTACCTTGACTATCAGTCTAGTTTCAGTTTCTACCTTCGCTATTTCATAATACATGTAGATTTCATCAATATGCTTCATGCAATGCATTACTTAAAAATGAATTTTCTTCTGTATCTTCTACAGCTTAACCACTTTGTACCTACTATAACTCCTATGTTGGATGATGCTCAAAGACTGCTGTTGTCCAACAAAGCTAATATTTTCTTTCTCTGCAAGCCAGAACACACTTTTATCAGATTCAGCTCTTTT